TCTTCCCTCCCTGAATTCCACTACGTATTAGAGGAGTTATCGGCCGACATTCCCAGCTCTCTCAACTTCATTACATTGTCTACATGTTTCTTTCCACCACCTACAATTCTAAATCTCTCCCATCCAGGTTCGTTTTCTTTCTTTCGTTTTTCCTAAACGTTACCCTAACCCAAACCCTGATTAATTAAGTTACCCAAATGTTCTTTTTTCCATATGAAATCTATTTTCTATTTTTTCAGATTAATGGAGAAGAATTTGAAGGTTTTCATTCCTTCAGCAGATGTATAGAAGACCTCGATGGTATTGAAGGTTCAATAGAAGAGGTAATTAGGTCCTCAATTTAAGGTATATTTGCTCCTTTTTGGTTCTTTCATTAGCTGACCATGTCGTCATTTTTGAATTGATTGTAAATACTACCATCGTAGGGTTACAAGTTTTTTTAATTTTGTCTTATTTTATCTTGAATTTTTTCTCTACACCCTAAGATATCAAATTTTTACACAAGCTATTAAAAACCAGAGGATGAAATTTGAAGAAGAAGGATATTTGGGTAAAAACCACTTCCATTTTTTCATGTTTGCAGTGATTGATTGGAGCTTATAAAGGAACGAAAAATTATATGGATGTGCTTGGTGATTGGAAAAACCTTTTTTTTACCTTTCTTGTGTTTTCTTATTCAGATCATATTATTTACATATGCGTTGTTTTTTTCTTAGGGCTTTATTGTATTTACAGTTGCATTGTAACAGGGGTTGGATGTGGATGGATTCATGGCTGCGACCACAGAACTTTCCGCTGGTCCACTTACTTATAGGCCTCGATTTTGATAATCAAGAGGTATTCTATTGGCAGATCACTTGAAGGAGCCAGTGTAAATGAAATATGTCCAAAGACAGCAAGCTGAAAGGGAAAAAAAGGTATGGCGTGCACTAGATTATAAAGACAAAAAGACTATCAATTAGCTTGATGCTTTGATTTGGTTTCAGACAAGCATTCGGTTTTCATGATTTTGAATCTGAGTTAGGTTGATTTTATTACTTTCCTATTTTTCTTTTGCAAGTATGAATCATTTTGTTGTTTGATTTTGTTCTTTTCCGGGGATGATTTTCAGTGAGGAAAGCTATGAATATTGAGAGGTCATAAAAGTTAGTATAATTAACATATGTTTCATACATTTATGTTCTTTATTTATTTACTTATTGAAAGTTAATTTCTTTTGCAACTTGATGTTGCAGGAGGGATGTCAAGATTGTTACATTATGAGAAGCACATGGAGCATATTGATGAAAAAGCCCAAATTTCTTTAAAGTATTTCTTGTGGGTGGGTTGATAAAGGGCTATGTGATCTCGACTTTTGTAGTTATGAAGAAGGTAAGTTTAAAAGATATTATAGTTTCATCATTAAATAATGGAGAGATTATTACAGAATGAATTTGATTATCCTGGATGTCTTGCTATCTATAAGATGAAAAAAGTGTCTCATTCTATTGTGATTGGAAGAATTCTTGATTATGCCATATCTTTTGTGATTGGAAGAATTGGGCAGGATAAGCATGGAAGTGATTTCCATTGCATGTAAGCAAATAAAATACATGCTAATTTTATATTAACTTTACTTTCTTAGGTAACGAGCATGTTTCGTGGAAATTGAATTATTATTATTAATTTGAATTATTTTATGTATTTGTGGATGGCTGTGGTCCTGAGCAGAAAACACCAACGTCAGGCTACTGTTGCGCTTTATTTTCCTATTTTTTATTTCTTTATGATTATGTTTTACGTGTTAATTAGTAAAATGATTAGACCATCAGGAAAATGGAGATGATATAGGCTAATAGAAATAAGAAAACTTGAAACTGAAATTGTGTGAAGTGATATCAATACATGAAGATGATTAGCTAACAATTGAAGGAGAAAATTGTGATATGTTACTTATGGGGGTTGAAAAACAATAGACAAAATGTATTCTGTTATATATAAAAGAAACCCAAATCAAGGTTATTTTTCACGTTGCCATCATTTATTTTGCTGGGAATTTCAGGAATGTGGTTAAGAATGGTAGTTGATTTATCTTTTTTCCATTTTTTATTGAGTTTTCGTTTCGATTATTTAATGGAATTGTATTGTGTAGTAATGATGTTTTGTAATTCCATATCATACACCTACTGGTAATCACTCAAAGTTTAGCTTAGGAAACCATTACTGCTAACTAAGGTAGGATGATGTACCTTCTGTACAGTGGTGAGTTACATTGAATTTTGAGTCATAGAGAAATTTTGGAAGTTCTGTTTCATAATAAATAATCTTTGTTTGATATTTTTTTTAATAAAGTTAATTGTTGAATCAAGGGTATTCTTGTCATTTTATACCTTCCCAAAGATAGTTTCTTTTATGTACAACAGAGTTCATAAAATAGCGTTGCATTTAAAAAAAATTACTTTTTTTTATTACTTTTAGATGATAAGGAAAAGTTTTTTTTTTTTTTTTTTGTATATTGAAGCTCATTTGTAGGACTGCTTTCTGGAAACAAATTTCATTAATAGAATCGAACTTTGGAAAAAAAAATCATTAGTATCATCATACTTTCAAAAAAATTACTTTGTGGATTCTTTTTAGTTGGATGAATAAATGGTTACGTAGAGTTAAAAAAATGAATAAAAATACATGATATTTTTGGTATATGGCTGAAAATAATTTAAAAAATAACAATTCTTTGAGTTGAGAAGATTTCATATTCATGTGGATTGGATGGAATCCTAAAAATGAAGCAGGTTATGTTGTTTGAGGCTTGAAGGGTATTTCGGTCATTTTTCAGAAAATAAGGATGTGTACAATTTTTTGGAGCATGTTGCTTTTGTAGTTATTATCCAGATGGTAGCATCTTTTGGAAGGTATGCATCATCATTTACAATTTTACCCTTGACTTTGATGAAACTTCATCATTTTTTTGTTGCACTGGTGTTGCAGGAGTGCTTATGGCTATAAGTTGTTGCACTGCAGTGAGAAAGTTAGCGTAAGGCCGTATTGCTTGTGGTTTATTCACAGCGCCGATTAATGATATTTATTGTAGCTTTCTGGACTTATCATGCAGCCTTATAACAATAGATAAATTGCATCATTTGATACTTGAAGCTGGATTTGAAGATGTTTTTTTGTTTCATTTTGATGGATGGGCACTTGATTACTATGTATAGATGTAAGGGATACTTTTACACTTTCCCGATCGAACAATTATATTGCAAAAAGAATACAAAAAGAGAAAGGAAAAATAAAGCCAACATCAACGATCTTGCCACTCTTGTCCCCATTACAATCTAATGTTAATACCCATTAGTATCTAAAATCTAAATACAAGTTATTAATTAAATTATAAATTATTTTTTATTGGATTTTATTGTTTATATGATTAGGTTGTAACAATAAGGCATGCGGCAATCAAGAAATACAACCCATCATTGGTATATTTTTGAAAAATGATTAATGCATTGAATATAATTATTAATTTATTATAGATTTCGTATCCTTCATCTCAACTGTTGCATTTGGTGAACCAACCAGAGAGAACTAAGTATGAATAGTTTGACGACTGTTTTAGTCTAAAAATATAAAACATGGTGTGAGAAAAGAAGAAAACCCATTTCTTTTGTTCTCCATTCATATTATCATCTCCAAAATATTTTATCTTAAAATTATAGCCAACAAATTGGCATCAAATCCCTGTTCAATCAAATGATAGGCATTTTAGTAATTTCAAAAAGTTTCGGTCTAAACTAACTAAGTATGAATAGTTTGCCAAGGTTAATTTATAAAAAGATGATTAAGGGCATGTTGAATTTTAGTAATCTGGCAAAGTTCAAGTCTAAACTTACTAAGTATGAATAGTTTGACAAGGTTTCAATCTAAACTTATAAAAAGATGATTATGGCATTTTTTGTTATTTGACAACGTTTTAGTATAAAAATACAAAATATGATCAGAGGCATTTTAGTAATTTGACAAAGTTTCAATCTCAACTTGCATGTGATGTTTTAAAAATTTCAGACTAAAAGGTTTCTGCTTGAGAAATTGAATTTGTATCGCAACCTCATTGTTCTAGATCTTATTAATATAGGTTAATTGATTTTCCATCGATTGTTAATAGTACGAAGAAAGATAGAAATGGTTTCATTTTTATCTTCTCCAATAAATAAAAAAGGATTATATAATCATTTGAAAGTAGAAATAACTGTTGACAGAACGTAGATCAGATATTCATAACAATATATATATTAGTTTTAAATAACCATTATGATAAAATATCTATATATGTAAATTATTAAATTTTTGAGAAACATTGATTAGTTATACATTTATATGTATTTTTTTATATGTTTCCGGCGTTTTACGCGTTCATAGTTTATATATATACTCAACTTTATGAAAATCCTTAGTTGCAAATCGACAACGATATTAAACCACGATCGTATAAATTAATCAAACGTTCACGTAATTAATAAATTAATATAAGATATAATTGATCTTATAAATAAATCTTATACATTTTAATATACATATAGAATATAGAATGTCAATGTTGCTACATATTTTTGGTATTTATGTTGCATTTTATGGAATTAACGTCGTGGGGTCCACATGAAGTTCCTCAGCTGGAAGCAGCTGCACGCATGGCATATCATTCGTCCATTTGCTTCGCTCTCCACCGTTCGATCATAATCTTGTTAGAAGGAAAACAAAAAACCCTAACCTAACCATGGTTAAAGCCTATTTACTTAACTTAACCGAACTAAACCTATGTATCCTCCGCTAATCAACCCCTAGTTTTCCCATTAATTACAAACATACCAACTTTCCTTTTCCCACTCCTATAAATTCGACATCGAAGCAGAGCTATGTTTGCCCAATTGAAGGCCTGAGGGCCCTTCAGTAAAAACACACTCTCCATCTCCTTCTCGTTCTCTTTCTTCTCTCTCACACATAACACCAAAAACACACACTTTCTAATGGAGACGTTTTCCAAAAAGTCAAGGAAACCGGTGTTGCCGTTAGCGTCGACGTTCCACGTCCACCGTTCAATTTCTCCGACCGGTAGATTTGGTCGTCATTCGTCGGCGTTTGCTGCTGATATGACATCGCCGTTTGCGTCGTCGACGAGTTCCAGCTTTTGTTCATCTCCTTCTTCAAGTTACGTCTACAGTCGTCCGTCTTCTCCGACGAGAGTTAAGCTTCATGGTTTTGCGTCGATGACGTCGTCATCGGTGAGAGTCTCTATATCGAGTAGATCTGGATCTCCGAATCGGTCGATGACGGTGCCGGTGGCTCCTCGAAATCAAGTTGTACGGAAACCAAGTTCGCAGAAGACGTGTTTGTGTTCGCCGACGACGCATCCTGGATCGTTCAGGTGTAGTTTACACAAGAACTACAACACTAGTAATTCGATGTCGTCATACTCTCCGAATAGATTGAATGCTCGAAGGTCTGCGATGACGAACTCGCTTGTGCGAATAGCTACTGCTGAAGGAGGTGATCTGGTTAAGAGAGCTCTCGCTGCCTTGATCCGCCCTTCGTCGCATCAGCAACGACGGAGATTGGCTTTCGAACCGAGACCTAGTCGGTTGTCGATCATGTCCAACGCCGACGAGTTATGAAAATATTATGCTTGAAATATCTTATGTTGCGCAGTCACAGGTTTTGGTGCTATTACATCCATCAGTTTTCAGTTTTAGATCTCGCTATGGTGGCGCGAAGGTTTTCCGGCGAAACCTGGTTCTACTAAAATTCGACGACATAAAATCTTTGGACAAGAAGGATGAAGCTTATCAGCAATCGAATCAAACCGAAATCTCCTTTGTACACAGAGATGATAGTAAATGGTTGCAAATTTGAAGGACATTTTGTTACTAATATAATTAATCAATTTGGTAACAGAATTAAAAAAAGATCTTCGAATTTGAGTTTTATCTGTTCTCCGATTGGTTCTTTTTGTTTTCAAGAATTTTATAAATTTGTTCCTTTCGTTGTCGATGAAATTTAATTGATTTGTTCGTTTCATTCATATTCACAGCGTCAGATTCAATGACATATGTCTTCATTTTCCGTAACGCCCGTCAGGTCACCTGTTACGTCATACCCGTCGCCGTGAGATTTGCTAGTGAATTGCAGTGTTGTGCCGTTATTCGTAACAGATTTCCGTCTACTTGATTTTCCGGCGGTGTTTCGTACAAGGTAATTAAATTTACTTCCTTTTTTCTGTTATATATCAATTTGATTTATTTTTTATGATGTCGTTAATGTTTTTTATATTCCCTTTCACAGACGAATGAGAGCTCTATGGATGAAAAAGAAAGGCAACGAAAAAACAAAAATGAGTATATTTGGTTAAAAAGATTGTTAAAAAGGCTTGAAATTGGTTAACGTGACCCCAAAAATAGAATTGTTATTGTCGCAAAAATTGAATTCTCATAATCACAACGTAAACAAGGTGTATAGAATTGGCAAGGGGCTTTGTAGAGGAAATTGACCTTTGGCAAAGCTTTGAACCTTTCATTTTTTGGTTTTTATCTCAAGAACTTCAAACTTGGTATCCTCTATCTAATTCGGATAGGAGAAACACTAGTAATATGCTCACTAGTGGAAGCACACCGTTAGGGAAAAAGCATTAGAGATAGGATCAACAATAACATTATTGGTAGAACAATAACATTATTGGTAGGACTATCAAAGCCCTCGTTACTATCATACAAGTAGTGGACTATAAAAAACACTAGAGATAGGATCAACAAAACCATTATTAGATGTGACTATGAAAACCTTTATTATTCAACCCATTGGCATATCAATTCCACAAAAACAACCCACCACTTCCAACTCAAAGAATAGAATAGAATGATGTCTTGGAGTTAACAAGGATACCTCCCCCTCTTTTTGTCATGACTCTCACCCACCTAAGAGACTACGCGACTACAAAAAAATCGTTAGAGATATGATCAACAATAAGAGACTATCAAAACCTTCGTTACTATCATACAAGGGACTGTTGTTGATTACATGTCAAGATTTATCAAATTTCACGTGAAGTGAATCTTTAATAATCATTTATTATTTGTTGAAAATCCTATAGTTTTACTTGGCTAAGAGTAGCAAAGAAATAATCATATATAGGTTCGGATCTGGTAAAATGGACCTTAGGTAGTGTTTGGTGAGTGGAACAGAACAGAACTAAATGGAAGAAAATCATTTGATGAGGTGTTTCGTATGTGTAGAACAAAAAGTCAATGGAACAAAAAATTAGTCAATAAGACTAAAACTTATAAATTTTATCCCACCCAAAAGGGTGGAACCGAGTTTGACAAATGAAAGCAATTTTCACAAAGACTAAAATGCTCTCTTCTTCTATTCTCTTCTCATTGTGCAAATCATAAACAAGAACATTTTTTTTCTATTGCTTCTCCGATCCATCTCTTGTTTGTGGGTTATGATTACAGAACAAAAAAAAACCATGGACATCCATTGAATTCAATGTTATCTTGGCTAATCAACAGAACACTTCAAAATTATCGAAATTAATTTTGTACACTACCTTTGTATTTGATTTTTTAGTAAATCATTTGACCACCAATAATCAATTTAAGTTTTAGAATTTTGGCAAATTTGGTCCCTCGTACTTTGGGTGTATGTTTGATACGCGTACGAGATCGCTTTGGTCGTGGGGGGTTTAACCACATACGCTAGGCGTACGTGGGGCGTACGTCTGCCTGGGTCAAACCCTAATTTTTAGGGTTTGACCCCTATTTAAACATCATTATAGCCTTTGGACCTCTACTCTCATCAGTCTCCATCCTTCATTTCGTCCCACTGAAACCCTAATTCATCCTTTGAGAGTTCTTGAGCTTTGAAAGTCATTTTGGGGCATTTTTGTGTGTATTCAAGAAGAAAGAGCTTGGAGACCAAGCATTTGTTGAGGTTGAGCTTTTATATCCTGAGTCTTCATCAACTTTGCGAGCTAGAGAAGGTATAAAGTTTTTACCTTGATGATTTATTTTGATAGTTAGAGATTAGGGCCTGTTTGTGAGCTTTATTTGGTCCCATGGGTTCTCCTTGTGAGTTTGGGCAACTCCGGGGGTTAGATATGTTATATCTCAGCCTCTTTGTTGTTCTTGATGCATAAAAATGTCATCTTGATGGTTGTTATTGGTCCATGCAAGAGTTTGAGTTCTTATTATGAGTATTGTTGGACAAAAATGGATGTTGGGTTCCATTAAGACATGTTAAGGGTTAAAGTTGCCAACTTTATGTATTAGAACCCTAACAACTAAAAAGATATGAAAGTTGGACCTTAGGGCTAAATGGATTAAGCACTAAATGGCCTAGGGTGGCAAGCAGCCCAGTACGTTGGGCGTACCAAGTGATACGCTGCGCGTACTGGCGGTCACGTACGTCGAGCGTACAATGTGTACGCCTTGCATTAGCTCTTTGTGGGATTTTAGACTTTGGTTGGGCTTTAGACTTTTGGGTCTTAGTTAGGTTTTGGGCCTTGGACTTTTTAAAGTATGAGTGGGCCTCAGGATTCTGTTATCGGGTCTTAAGTTGTATGATTTGGGCATTGGGGGCCAGTATTGTGTTATTGGGCCAAGTTTGGTTAGGACCATTATGGGAAGGGTAAAATGACCTTTTATCCTAGGAGTTTGGGTTCGGGATTTTAGACCTACGGTTATGGTTTATAACCTAATTTTGATTAGGGTTATTTGTTTGTGTTTAGTGTGGGAGCTTCCGGTTCTGTAGTCGAGCATCTAGTTATTTATCATCAGACTGAGGTGAGTTCTCTCACTGTATCCATGGGTCGAAGGCACCATGTCGGCCCATTATTTGTGATATAGGATGTTAGCTATCTCTATGGTATGTGCATGAAAGACCAGGATTTGGCCCCTGACAATTGTATGAAAGACCAAGATGTGGCCCCTGACATATGTATGAAATACCAGGATCTGGCCCCTGACACCTGTATGGAAGATCGGGATTTGACGCTCGGCAAGAATTACTTGTAAGCCTATGATTTAGCCCATAACACTAACTTATTTATGTATGGTATGTGGTACTTGGGGAAACTCACTAAGCTTGTGCTTACAGTTTATAATTTTGGTTTCAGGTACTTCTGGTACTAAGGGGAAGGGCCCGACGTGATGACACAACATTCTCCCATCACTGTTTTCCGCACTTTTTGATATTTTTACTCTGATAATTTGACATTGTTACTATGTGATGGTTTTGGAACAATTTGATGACTGTAACTCTTGTTTAAAAATGAAAAAAAAAAAATTATCATGGTTTTTGGGTCGTTTCAACTTCCATATTGCAAATAGGACAAAGGGTAGAAGGGGCATCCACACCTCCATAATCGAGATTAATAAGTTTGTCCATTCTAACTCTCCACACCATAATATTAACCTTACGGGGCAATAAATTATTCCATCTAGTTTGAGTATCAATAGAAGGAAGGATGCATTTACCAATCCATTTTGTTAAGTGAGCAACTGAAAACTCACTAGAAAGGTCAAGATTCCAAACCCATCTATCTTCATGATCTGAAAGCTCCACATTAGCAAGAAGATTATACATTTCCTCAAATTATGATTCTTCCTTTCTCTCTCTCTATCTATCTCTCTTTCTCTCTCCCCCCCCCCTTATGTTGCGACGTCATTTCCAAACCAAATCCACACCCCTTTTACGATCAAGCAACACATGTCAGATTCAAGTTGATACAACCGAGGAAAAAAGTAGCTAAATTGCAATATCCAATCCAACAATCCTTCCAGAACAGAATAGAAGTACCTTTACCAATTCTTTTTTCTGAAAACTTGATCCGATAAGATCTGTTTTTCCTCCAACCTCGACGACGGAGCAATGATCCTCACCCATGGAGCCGAACCACCACTTTAGACCTACCACCACCGAATCCACTGTTGTCACCATAAATAGCTTTAATGATCTTAACCCAAATAAGATTATGATTATTTAGGAACCGCCAACACCATTTTTTGCAAAAGAGAAAAGTTCAACGCAATCAAGCTTCCAATATCCAATCCTCCTTTATTGAAATCAACTAGCATCAAATGCCAATTAACCCATTAGATTTTTCTTTGCCCCTTTTGGATCCCCCCCAAAAAACTAGCACGAAGTGATTCCAAATCTTTTGCAACTGCAACATGTAACAAAAAATCAACATATAATACGTTGGTATGGATCTAAGAATGGATTTAATTAGCACCATACGACCACCAATAGAAAGAGTAGACATCTTCCACCTTGATAACTTCTTAACCATTTTCTCCGATATAAAGTTCCACCCTACAATTCTAGACATATTTTGACCTACGGGTAGACCAAGGTAAATAAAAGGTAACTTTTCAAGTCTAAAACCAACAACATGAGCACAAATCACCACCTCTTCCCATTTAACACCAAACCCATATAAATTTGACATCTAAAGATTTATCATCAAACCAGACACAAGGTAGAAGCCTTGGAGGAGAGTAACAATATTAGAAATATTCCTTCTATCCCACTCCCCTAATAAGATCACATTGCCAACATGAAAGAGGTGGGAAATGTTAGCAGGCTATCTTCCCATGCTGACACCTTTATACAAATTATCTTTAATCGTGTCTTCAATAGCCACGTGTAGACCTTCCATAGCCAAAATAATCAGGAATGGAGATAAGGGATGACCTTGTCTAAGACCCCTTTGAAGTTGAAATTCATCAGAAGGACTACCATTTATAAGAATAGAGGCCCTAGCAGAATTAAGACAATAATTAATCCAAGATCTCCACTTAGTCCTAAACTTCAAAAATTGCATAATTTTATGTAAGTACTCCTAACTCACCGAGTCGTACGCCTTGGCAAAATCAATCTTTAGCACCATCATCATATTTAATTTTTTCTTATACCAATTAACAACTTCATTCACGACAAGCGGGCCATCAAGGATTTGACGGCCTTTAATAAAGGTCGTTTATTCCTTACTAACCGCTATATCTATCACCTTAGCTAGACGAAGAGCAAGGATTTGAGCCAAAATCTTGTATTGGATGCCGATGAGACTTATAGGCCTAAAGTCATTAATTAACATTGGGCTGATGACTTTAGGAATTAGAGTAATAAATGAGGAGTTGCAGTCTGAAGGAATTCTCGAATTGGAAAAGAAATCAACCACACACTCAAAAATGTCGCTCTTCAAGGAGTCCAAATACCGTTTTACAAACGTGAAAGTAAACCCATCTGGTCCCGGTGCCTTTTCATTACCACAATCCCAAACCGCTTGTTTAATTTCCTCCAACGTGAAGGAAACCTCGAGCTGTTGAGCCAAAGAAGCTGAAAGCTCCTTAAACCGAGAACTTTGAGAAACCAAAAGGAATGATTTCCTGTTTCAAAAAAATTTCTTTGTAGAAAGAAAAAAAATTCTAATTTTACTCTTCTAGGCTCCGTAATCCACTCACCATC